TGTATGAACTGATAAACTGATCAAATTATTGATTTTGCTACAGTAAATTCTGAAAATAATTCAATTATTAATTATTGATCATAATCCGTTATGAATAATAATTAATTATATTTATACGTGCGTATAAACGCTACACTGTATTTCTGGATTAGATGGTAAATCAGCATCAAAATGTATGCAATATTTATCTAATTTAACTTTATAATTAATTTAACTGATATTTACTGTCTGTTACTCTGGCTGTGTACTTTTATATTTTTTATACAGATTATTTGTTACTTATATGATATGTTTCTATATTCTTTCTATTGGCTGATGTATATTTATGTTTTTATTCTTTATGAAAGTGTGAACTGTAACTAAAGGAAAACGGTCTGCGTTTCAGAGAGGATCTTTGCAGGGCTGACAGAGATAGTAGAGTGAAGTTGTGGCCATTAGTCGACGAGGCACGGGAAGCAGGAACGCTTGCCTACTTTAGCTGGCCTTCGTGGAGAAAACAGAAATCTTTCCACCAGGCTGAACTCTGTTGTGATAAGGTATTCTGTTTACATGCTTGTTTAAAAAGCAAAACAAAAAACACACTTTTCCTTTTCATCACCGATCGTTTTTTCCTTTACCTCAAGTTCAATTTAATAATGGCACTCTTTTGCAAAAGGTCATCTTTGACTAGGACCATATTTTCATTATGTCAAGAGTCGATAGCTAATGTTCATATTCTGTCTGGTTATTCCTCTGAAACTACAGTTGATGTGGTGCTTTTTGTTCTCATCCCGTTTAGTAGTTGTCTCTGAGCTTCTGTTCTGAAAAAACTGTTCAAGTGAATTTTATTTTTGTTATTTTATTCTAATTTCCTTATTGATGTCTTTATCTTTAATTTCACTCAATGCCAGGGGACTTAGGAGCAGTTTAAAACGGAAAGCCATTTTTTTATTTGCAAAACAACGTAAAACAGATTTTAGTTTTATTCCAGAAACTCACAGCATCTCTGAGGATGAGCCTTTTTGGAAATCCCAGTGGGGAAATGACATCTTTTGTTCTTTTAGATGGGATTGAAAAGAGAATTGTTCATTGGTTAGCCAAATTCCCTAATGCACATATACTCTTGGGTGGTGACTTTAACCCTCTGCGGTCCAAGGTGTTTTTGGGGTCCTTGGCTACTAAAAAAAAAAGGCTACTAAAACTTTGAATGTATGCTCAATTTTTGGTGTTTTTGTATAATTTTTTTGACAAATTTTTTATGATTTCTTTATTTTATTATTATTATATGTTTTATGGGTACAATTGTTTCTAATTGATACTTCCTTTTTTTTCCCCTCTAAATTCAAATGTGATGTAATATCTATCAGTCCCTGTACCTCTGGCTCTTTTTTTTTTTTTTTTTTTTTGGCTTATGAATGTTCACTCCTGTATCTCGTAATTAAACGTTTAATAAAAAAAATGTAACTAAATGATTTTTGTATTACAAGTTCAATTTATTTTTTGGCAAATTGTAACAAATATGATCTGCAATAAAATAAATAAATAAATAAAATAAATCAAGAGTGTGGAAAACAGTCCTCATCCGGAATGCAGAATCCCTGACAACATCCAAAAGACCGCTGAAAACTCATCTCTTCCGCGAGCACTTAACCTCATAAAAAAAATAAAATAAAAAAAAATCATTCTTTCTCTTTCCTTTAATCTGGCTTATGCTACTCTGAGCAATGCCTGAACTTTGTATTTTAGCACTTCTGGCGTTGTCTTTGCCTCTTCACGATGACTCGCTTGCTTTAGTCCTCAGTTGTAAGTCGCTTTGGATAAAAGCTTCTGCTAAATGACTAAATGTAAATGTAAAACAGCGCCATCTTGTGGCAGGTCAAAGTTACAGCAGCCGTGTTTATGAGCAGCGCGCAGAGCCGTTGTTTTATCCTTTAAGCACAAATAAAAGCCTGACAACGCTAAATGTTCAGATTTCTGATAATAATTCACATATTAAAGTGCGGCAATAAATTAAATGTAATAATTATATTAATACTAATGATAAAAATACCAACAGAGTTGCGCTTGATGCAAGTAAATGTTGGTCTAATTATTTTATGGTTTGTAGGGAAAGGACCAGCGGGAGGAAATAATAATGACAAGACTGAGAGTAGATCATACAGGTCTGAATAGCACCTTGTTTTTATTGGGGAAAGGGAATAGTGAAAAATGAGAAAACTGTGGGATTAAAGAAAATGTTGAACATGTAATTTTGCATTGTATATTGTTTGCGTTGGAAAGACAGTTATTTCATGATTAGGTACAGGAGGCAGGACGAGAATGGAATCTGATGGGGTTATTGAACAGAAGGAGAAGGAAAGGGGATAAGAATCACCAGGAAGGCATTATTTACATTTCTTAAAGACACTGGGTTGGTGAACAGAATATGAGAGAGAGTTGAGAGATATGATGTACTCCAGTGCAGTAAGTGGCGTTATGCACTTTAAGTTGTTTGCAATCCACCATTAACTAAGAGAAGAAGAAGAAAGTAACAGCTGTTGACATCTGCACCTGTCACTCACTGACGGGATCTGATTTCATCTATGATCCAGAAAACATGTGTACATGAGAACGACGCGCGCGGGCTGACAACAAGCGTTACTGAGTTTACAATACTGATAAATTCTCTTCTTAGTGGACAAGACTGCAAGTAAGTTTAATACATTCTCCATTACAGTCATTTGTAATTATTAGGAACTTCATATTTTATATTAAGCGAGATTTAAATGTGAAGTTACAGAAGGCTGTTCTTCTGCTACTCCGAACAGAAGAAGAATCTGTCAGAAATTACAATCTTTTGAAGTAAAAACACAAAATGCCAAAGCCATTGAAAACAGAGTTTGCGAGTCCGTCATGCTGTGATCTCGACACACGGTCACGTGGTTCACGGAGCTCTCATTAGTTCCACACAACCAGCGCTGTCGATATGCATTTGAATGGCTTTAAGCAGGATACAGGTATTTGCAGATGTTTTTGGTAAACATTGCATTAAAGTGTGCATTGATTATTACGTCGAAGACATTTACAGTATCATTTTACTCTGGAGAGTGATGGAGAGGCAACATTAATGTTAATGTTTTTCTTGCATTTAAGGTATTCCTTAGGGGAGAGCAGGGGCGAAGGTGCCATTTTTCAGAAAAACATAATTTTAAAAGATGATGGTTTAGACATATATATTTTTGCTGTGGTCTGTCACCCAAGTGTGGTCTATCAATACCACGTCAGGTATTAAATGTAGAACAACTTCAGTATAATTTCACTTTGAACTTAACTGCTCATGTTACTTTCAACCCCGTCAGTTGGGACCAAAGTAACAACAATACAAGCTAGATTTTTTTGTGTTACTCTTGTTTTGTTTGTTGTTGTTTTTTTATAGCCTAAATATACCCGAGTATGACCTTGTGAAACATATTTTGGCCTTTATCTTTGCAAAAAATGGTTAATTTAAATGTTTTAATTTTAAATTTCAGTTTCATCAAATGTTTCAAAAGTAACCCAAAAGCTGCCGCCCTTCATCTGCATGCCATGCAGGCTAGAATTGTGAAAACATTATTGGATAATTCTTATAATTTACATTTCTCTGGGCAAGAATTTGCGGAGAATACACGGCATAATGAGCAGGCTGCGATGTCAAGATTGCAATGCTGGAGTGTGTGTGTGTGTGTGTGCGCGTGAGAGAGAGGCACCTCTCATTGTACCAAACCGTGATGTATGAACCGAACCGTGATTTCTGTGTACCGTTCCACCCCTAGTATTGTCGTCATACTATGAATTACGTTAAGCTAGGGTGACCAACAGCCCTGTTTTCCCAGGACATGTCCTGTTTTCACTTCCTGTCCTGGCTGTTTATTATAAAGTGATGATAACGGGTTTTCAAAAAACTGCTGGGAAAGATCAGCAAAATATAGATGGGCAAACAAGGAGGATGAGGAAGAAAAACAGGATAAAGAGGAAGAAAACTAAAGATCTAAATATATAATAAAACATGTTGAGTAACCTCTTGAGAAGCCTATCTGAATTTGTGTCTTGTAATATAACAATTTTCTATCCATACAGAGGAGGCATAGCCTACTTTAAATGTATTGAAATTAATAAGGCATCTTTGAGTAAACTTTGATTATCTGTTTGCTGGGCCGAGTGTCCTGGTTTTTGGTATTATGGTCACCCTACGTTAAGCTATGGTAAAAGTGGTACCGCCAGACCCGGAGATCGGCTGAATGGTTTCCTAAACGGTAAAAAACAATTGTTTTACTCGAGCGGAGGTGGAAAATGAGCTTAATTCCCAAAATGGTGTAATATCCCTGTAACGTTAGCTAGGCTTATCGTTAGCCGGAGCTCTGCCCTGACTTCATGATACAGTGCAGATACAAACTTCCGGGTTGGTTTTTGATAAGTATGCTAATTTTTGTTAAGTCACGCTCAGAAATGTGTCATTTGCATATTAAAATAACAAAGAAATCGAGCAGGGGGCACGTACGACCACAACCCCCCCCCCCCCCCCCCCCGTTTTACTCAATCAGTTATTTTAGGATCATTTGAAAGTAATGAAATCAACCACTGTAAACTTGTAATGATTAAATGACAAACGATTCAGCCATTAATAAAAATTGGGTAAATATGATTGTAAAATGATATTATTCTGTAATAGAGAATATATCAAATTGGGTTCAGTTTTCCAGCACAGTGTACATTTCTGTTCCCCAATGAATTCATATTTAGAGTCAGTTAAACTCATTAAACAATCAGAAATGATTAAGACCATTCGGTTATTTTACATGGCAATATATTTGTTTGTAACTCACTTTATTTGATAGATTGTTTTTGCTGTTGCTGTTGTTGATGATAACTCTTTATTCTTCATGATTGTCTTCAGTAAGATGTTGTTGATGTGTGTAAATGTTGTGATTTGCAGGTGATGCTGAAGGATTGAGTGTTTTCAGAAAGCAGTGCTGATCAGTTTTCAGGGTCAGTTTAGCTGCAGTATGTCAGAGGAAAGAGGAAAGGACTCTCTCTCTCAGATGAGTCTCTCAGAGAAACACAGGTGAGACTGCGTCTGTTTCACACACTCAGTTTAAACTCCACTGGACTTTGTGTTTCCCTGTCAATAACACAACTTTAAGCATTGTTTTATATTTGCAAATGCTTTGCACAACTTCAATTTTAACTTCTTAAATTAACACTGACATTGTCTATAAAGCCCTGTTTGCTCTATAGAAAATATCACAGTTAATAATTTGTTAATAATCTTCTAGATGCTGAATTAATCCAAATAAATGACTTTAGTTTTTAGATCATAAAATTATTGATAGACATTAGAAAACAACTATACACTTAATTTAATTCAATTTAATTTGCACAGACATTTCTGCTCTCCATTTCCTTCAATAAACAAACACTTGAAATGTTCTCTTAAATTAAAGTATTTTTTAACATGTTTAATCTCACTCATGTATATTAAAGAAATTGTTAAACTAATTGTCACGATGACTGCTGCGTGAGGAAACTTCAGGAGACGAAAAGCAGGTTAACAGTCTTTAATGAAAAACAAGGCAGAGCCGAAACGGCCGATCAACAGAAATGTCTCAAAATATTCTTGAAGAAACAGAGAAGCGCACGCAGCAGGTCTCGTGGACTGGAGAAGGAGAGCAAAGGAGAACTGGAGAAGCGCAGATCTCTCACACCTCTTCTGGACTCAACACAGGTAACCGCTGATCTGGTATAGTAGCAGGTGGATAACTGACAACTGGACTAGACAGGACATAACAAATAAGAGTGAGAGCGAACAAAAGGGAACAGAGACAGAGAATGACCAGAAGAGGGAGACAGAGACCAATAAAACACGAGAAGGGAACCAGGATCATGACACTAATGTGAGCCAGTAAAATAAAATGATGGTTAACTATAAAACTGTAAATTGTGTGAGTGTGTGTGTTTCTGTGGAGGATTAGATAAAGACACAGATGTGTTTCAGACACAGTTGATCCTCCTTTACTAAAGTGTTTTCTCTCTCTCTCTGTTCTTTGTGTCATCAGTGGAAGATCAGGCTCACATGTGTCCAGCTCTGTGTCTCTGAAGAGTGATCAGTCTAAAGGTTTTCCACCAGACTTCAGTGAGAAAACACCATCATCTAATAAAAGGTAGAAGTTATTTCAATAGAAAGTTCCAATAAGAAGTAGCTTCATTATTCATATGTGTGGTTTGGGCGTAACGGGAGCAATCCAATAAGATCGTCATATCACATTCCCTTTAAGAGCATGATGAACGAGGTGCGCTTGTTCCATGGCGCAAAACTATTATAACGGCGCATTTACCAGGCGCGCTTCAGAATCGGTTCACAGCCGAGGAGATCGATGTTCTCGTCAGGGCCGTAAAAGAAAGAGAAGTGACATTGGGGACGGGACAAACCCACCCAAATTAGCTTCGGTTAAACATGCATTTAATAATCGGGGTAAATGTGTAAGCTTATATGCCTATTTTTCAAATTGTCATGGACACAACAATGATTTTCCTCGTGTTTTAATATTTTTCCTTATAATAATATATAATTTGCAAAAAGTAAAATGCATCTGTGTAGATGAGAGAATCATCTACAGTGTATGCGCGTTGTTCAGACTCTGTATTATGGCCAAGCATGCGTGCTTAAAATAGCTTCTGAATGTACGCGCAATGCGCCACCGACTTTAGACTAGGTTTTTTCTGGTCAGTGGCGCAATCGTTTTCTGGAACTGCAAAATAGCACTAGGGAAAAAGTTTGCGCCGGAACACGCCTCCTCTTTTCGCTGAACCGCCCCGGGGAGCGCAAGTGTATTTCTTAGTTAACCGACGTGTGTCTGTGGAGGGAAAAGTCTGCTTTGCGCGGGTGCAAAATAGGAATGATACATGTGTCAGTGTACAAAGTCATTTGCGCCGGGTGCAAGATAGAGCCCCTTGTGTCAATTTGAATAATAAAAGCATACCATTAGGGCTCGGCAGTAAATTGAAGTGGTTATCCAACTTGGTATCAGCTTGTAGTTGCTGAAACTGAAAATAAGGTTGACATTTTCAGAAAATGTATGTCATGACTCATGAGTAATTAAAACACTAAACAAAAGGGGGAAAAAGCTTTATTTATAGCAAACAATTATATGTCGTTTGTTTTATTTGACAATTTAAAGAATTTGAATATCAAGTGTTATCTGCTAACAAGTTGGAAGCATTACTACTACAATCCCTGCAGTCATCACATTTTTCTGTTTTTCCCTTATCTTTTCTAGACAGAGATTAAAGTGGAAAAGATAACATTTATCATATAAGTTTACATCTACTAGCTACATCACCTAATAGCTAGTCATGGAAGAGATAACATGTAACGTTATTAGCTAGCTACATACGATTACATCAACTACACACAACCTAACGTTACTATAGATAGACCTTCTACGGGACAAGCCGGATTCCACCATATCTTTATGTACACAATAATAATATTTTACATTGTAATCCTTTTATTTTAAATATTTGGCATGTTTGTGCATGTCCCTGTGTGTGTAATAAGCAGAGTATGTGTTTAATAAGCAGAGTGTGTGTGTAATAAGCTGCGTGTGTGTAATAAGCATAGTGTAATAAGCAGAGTGTGTGTGTAATAAGCAGTGTGTGTGTAATAAGCATAGTGTAATAAGCAGAGTGTGTGTAATAAGCAGAGTGTGTGTGTAATAAGCAGAGTGTGTGTGTGTGTAATTAGCAGAGTGTAATAAGCAGAGTGTGTGTGTAATAAGCAGAGTGTGTGTGTAATTAGCAGAGTGTAATAAGCAGAGTGTGTGTGTAATAAGCAGAGTCTTTGATTAGAGAGATTACTCTGTCTAGTAATCCTCGTCTTTCATATCCTAATTTATGGCGCTACTGTACAGCCTGATAGAATAACTCTGTTTACGTTTTCTTCTCTGTGATCTGTATGTCATTTCTAACTAGTGTAACGTTAACGTTACCTGTAAATACAAACATAATCCGGAATAACCTATTATGTTAACGGTTTACAGAGTTCATGCACTAAGCTAACGTTAAAGACAGGTATAAACAGCAGTATTTACCTGAGCCATTACACCTGGAATCTTGGATGCCGCTGTTAATATTTCTCGTCTTCGGATAGGATTCCTGCTGGAAAATGTTTGATTGTGTAGATTTCATTAGAGAAGATTTTATGGTGTGAACTCATGGATCTAGCTAGCTAGAGAACGCATGTGCTACGCTACAGTCGTGGTAATGGTACTATATTTTGAACGAATACTATTGGCAGACGTTAGTCACGTGACGATAGAATTCGTTTTTGATTGGTTAGATGTGTAGTACTCCCTCGTGTGTGCCTCATCCGTTTATTAAACGTAAATTTAGTTTTCAAAAAAATATGATCGACTTGAGACTGCCAACAAACGGATACGTGTTCATAAAAAAATTATTTAGTTTATGTGAAAAAAGCAGCTACTCTATCCTCGAGGATCTATCATTTCAAAAACTAAAGCAGATAGCAGCGTTCGGCCCACCGTCTATATGACTTATATAGAATTATATGTACTATCACATAATCACACTTGAGGAAGAAAAAAAAGACTTTATACTTTATTCATATACCCAAACTGGGGGGAAAGAATGTAATTTGGTACAGATGTTATTTATATTTCCAAAAAGTAAGATGAAATTCTGAAAGGTTATAGTATAAAACATTGGGATTTTTATAAAACAGGCTACTTAAATAAAGTACATATATATTACCACATCATATATTAGTTGCTCCTCTGTTTCTCCCAGTAATTAGATATTTTGAATGCTTATTTCTCTGAGTAATTCTATAGTTTATGTAATAACAATGTAAGGCAATATGTAGATCGAGAGATTTACAAATAAACATCTATCAAAAGCCTGTTGTATCATATTTGATGTACACATCAGATGGTTTTTCTACAAAAAAAAATGTCAGTAATTGTCATGGATGCTTCTTAACTATCTTTAAATTAATGATATTTCTCCCATTGGCCACCCTTCTCTCAATATATTGGCATCAACCATCGGTTGACCTTAATCTTAAAATATTAAAAACAAATACAATTTCTTAGGTTGTTAGGTTTAAGTAATCTTAGCTTTACTTAAATCATTAAATATTTTATTTTAAAAAGACATGTACATGTGAACGGAGGCAGTTTTAGAATTATAGTGAAAGGCCTTTAACTTGCCATAAAAGTGTGAACTGTCTCATATAATGGTGTCGGTGCAGTCAAGTCAATAATATTGTTGAGTATTAAGTGTCCACTAAACAAGATAGAGGCAACAGTGGCAAGAACCTAAACTCCATCAGGTGACATGCATGGAGAAAAAAATCCAATAGCTATAGAAGCTTTACACAAATATTTTTCAAACATGCTTCATTTTATCTAGGATATTTGTCACTGAATAAAAAACACTAATGTACAGAAAATAGTAGTTTTTGAAGATAAATGTTATTTTAACTCAGCCTCTTTGCTGTATATGCTGTATGTAAAAAATAAATGAAAATGTATTTAATATTTGTATATAGAAAATGTATTTTATGTGTTCCATCTAATTCTGTGTTGTGACTTTATTGTAGGTTAAATGATTGTAACTTAACAGACAAAAGCTGTTCAGCTCTGGCTGCAGTTCTTGGATCCGATACCAATCTGAAAGAGCTGAACATGAACAATAATAATCTACAGGATTCAGGAGTGAAGCTGATCTGCACTGGACTGAAGAATATGAAGTGTAAATTGGAGATACTGAGGTAAGTTGAGCCACAGGAGTCACATGACTAGAGTGAGGTGCGATGGCTGACAGGACGATGCCGGAGGCAAAAGCGCAAGAGAACTTTTGTGAAAAATTCAAAGATCTTTTATTTATTTGTTACAACGTGGATAATGTTGTTAAATAAATGTTGTTGTGTTTTTTCTTCTATTACCGTATTTTCCGTACTATAAGGCGCACTTAAAAGCCTTTAATTTTCTCAAAAAACGACAGTGCGCCTTATAATCCGGAGAGCCTTATATATGGATGGTGAACACGCGTTCACCAAGACGGGGAGACAGCGCCGGGCGACTTACGCCACTATCTGCCAATGGATCGTGGATGCCTGGGCTGATATATCAGTCTCAACTGTGATCTGAGCTTTCACGAAGGCAGGAATAATCTCTTTATTCAGCCAGCTCACATACCCGTATTTACTTCCTGTTTTCGGTCGAAGTCCACAGTAGTCGATTGTCGAGTTCACGCGCGCGATCAAACCTCCTCCTTGTGTTCAACATCTGATTCGGATGAACTATCTATTTGAGCTGATATTCTCAGGACACCACAGCACCGTCATCGGCTGACAGTCTGAGTCTCCACTGTTGCTTAGTTACCAATGATCGCGCGCGCGCACTCGACAATCGACTACTGTAGACTTCGACCGAAAACAGGAAGAAAATACGGGTATGTGAGCTGGCTGAATAAACATCATTTTTATTCATATCTTTCACATTTACTGCAGTCAGATTCACCCTGTTCACTCACATGGCTGTGCACTTGTAATGACACAATAACCCTCTGGGGACTATGCCCTTTTTGGTCCGTTTTCTCTATTTTTACATTTGGGCTTATAAACCATATGTAATGGAGATGGAACACTATGTGTTTGGTATCTATGGATTCAGAAGACCCTACTCTAACATAAGCATGCATGTAATGTGTTTATAAAGGAAGTATGAGTGAAAAATTTACAATAAACTAGAGAATTTCAAAAAACGGAAATTAGATTTTTGTCATTTATATCTGAAAATCACACATCACACAACAATAGTGAACAGTTTTTGAACAAAAAATATATTTGTCAAAGCCTTTGCTTGACAGACATGTGTAATTGTTAAATAAAATGTGTAAAGAACAATGAAAAATGTAACTTTATTTACAAATAGTCCCTGGCGTTTTTCATAGGAATGCTTAGAATTTTCTAAGCAATGCTTTCTCCTCGTCACTCTCCAGTAATTGCTCCAGAGCTTGTTCCACCGTAAATCTTACTGCTTGCCATCATAAAAGTGCTAAAACAATAAACAATGTTATAATTGTATGTATATTGTAGTGATAATCAGATGGTATGTGGAGTAAATTAACTAGATTCTAATTTACTAAAGTCTCTTCCATTCGTGAGTAAACAAAGGGGCATTCTGTATACGACCCCCTTCGGGCATGTTGACCAGATTGGTGCCACTATGGCTAGCACATGACACATTTGGAACAAGCCAGCGTTGTCTTCAACAAATAGTCAGCCATTCAAACCCCTCCGTCTCACGGGACACGCATTCCCCCCACAGAAAGAGTCCACAAAGCTGCCTGAACGCTGAAGGACAATCACACATTGATTGCACACACACACACACAAATGTCCTATAATGTGTATATAAATGTATACTGTATAACACAGAAATTGGATCCAACCTTCCGGTATGCATGCATATCTAATTAGTCTTGTCCTATTCTATAGATGTAATTTTAACTGTTCTGTAACTTCGAACCTTAAAGTTTATTTCTAAAGAAAGGTTATATAACTCTCCCTCTTGCTAGGTCCTAAAACTTTATGACTCCCAAAAGGAATTCCAAGGGAAATCACAGCTCCCACTTGAATTCTGATGAAGAAAGAGGAATAGACTCTGCAATCTTATATTGTCTATAAGTATAACCACTTAAGAAATGCATAAACATGAATTTGATATTTCCTAGGTCATGGTAGCAGGTATTATGGCTTTATAGTCGTGTGAAGAAACTTTAAAATGCTTGTAATTCTGCATATGAATGTAACTATGTTCTTCTACTTTTACCTGCCATGTCTGGTAGCTGTTTGACCGTCTTGTTTTGACTGAACCAGTCATACATAGGATATTACTGTAAAATCTATTGTCCGGTCTGTACAATCTTTCTGGGTAGGAATGACAAAATGTTATACCATCATAAATGATCCTGACAAGACAAAGAGGAATCTTCCGCGGCACTTTTCTCCCAGCTGATTGGTGCCTTCATGCCAGAAGGGGCGTGAACCTAAGTGTCCTTAAAGAGACGCGCCGAGCTTCCCTTGGCTGTCTGCTGAAACCCTTCGGAAAGTTTCCTGAAAACTCTCTGCCTAAACTCCCTGGCTCTTCCTGCTCTTCGTGGCTTCATCATGTGACTCCTCGTGCGTCTGGACATCGCCTTAGTGTGATGATCCATCGTTTCTCTCTTTGTTTTCTTCAAGTTTATTTTATCTTTTTCGAAGTCTCCTCTGTTCATGTCTTCTCGCGAAGAAAATGAACACAACCAGACTGGCAAGCTTCACCTACAAGGACATTCAAACACGCCGCGCTCGCTGGACGAACTCGAACGCTCGACATCCACCTGACAGAGATACACGCACACGCCGTTTTCAGATCGGTCACACCCGAGAGCGGTGCCTCTGCAAGTATCCGTCTTAATATGCTTATTTAAGATCTGTTGAGTCTTGTTCTAATTCAAAAGGTTCTGTGTCTGTGATGAATAGTGCCAAGAAGATCTCATCTTCTCTCTCTCTCTCTCTCACTCCCAATCTTGCGCCCTCGCAACCTCTCTCTCTCTCACTCCCAATCTTGCGCCCTCGCAACCTCTCTCTCTCTCTCCTATGTGTACTCGTCTGTTTCGTTAGTTTTACTGTTTAACTGTACATACATGTATCCTGTGTTCAAATGTAGAATTCTGTATCCGTAGTTTCAATTATTAAAACCATATTCTTGATTGATCCTGAAGTGCTCATTTACAAGTCAATGAAATGAATATCTCGCTAAAAAGCTTTACAAGTTGTTACTATATCAGTAACGTAAATTTTATAAACACGAGAAAATTAATGTTCACGGCCGGAACATTGAGATTTCTTGGAGTTTATAAAAAGGGACAACCTTGTTGAGAAGTTGGTTAGTTAACCTTACGGCTGTTTGCTGGACAAACCGATTGTTTGATAAACTAAATTGATTCCCTTAAAGTTGTCTCATATAATCGATCTGTAATGAGACCATTGATATATGAATGAGGAATTATAATTCGTTATGATTTACCATTCATATATACAATCGATCTATTTTCAATTTCGATAATTCAACTGTAATATGCAATATATTAATCATATACATGATTAATTATTAAAATTCCCTATGCATAATTTGAGCTAATTAAGGCACATCTCAATGTCGCTACAATATAAATATTTATATTATAATTGTTCTGTCTCTCTCTCATATTTCTCTGATAATCCGCTCCGTAAGTCTCCGTTCGCTCTCTCTCCTTCTCTCCATTCAACGCTGTTTGCGTCATATCCCTAACTATATAGTACCACCCCTTGCAAGGCTACAGAGTCCTCTGATTTGCTAGATACGTCATGGTAACTTTCCTCTGATTGGATAAGAAAAATATTTCGCCATCGACAATTTTTTCATTGGTTGTTGTTCGCGGAATCTGCCAAACAACATCGATTTCATTGGCCCTTTACATTGTGGTATTGCGCAACAAGGAAGTGTGTATATTTACAAGCCGGGTAAGTTATCACTGTTTTCAGCGGAATCTGAGGAAGACGGTAAAAAAGACCGCACCTCTCTATCATTAATAGTTTTTAAGATATTTACACATTTGTAAAAGTATGCCATTTTGGGCGGTACCGCCCAATCCGTCCCCAGAGGGTTAAGGTTGTTAAGAGGCTAAAAGCAGGTTTAAAACTTGCCCCGTTTAAGTCAACAGGGTGCGAATTTTAAAAAGAGGATAACACGGTCGTTTTTTGTCGTTGTTATCTGTACTGACAGCACTCCAAATTTACAAAAAAATGAGCTCAATGTTATAATTGACCGGAGTTCTCCTTTAACGTTTGAACAACGTTACCATGGGAGTGAACGGAGTTGTCAGAACGCTTAATAAAGTTTGACTTTATCTGACTGTTTTGTTGACATTTCCTTTAGCACATCTAGTGGATGCATAATGCAAACCCAGTCAAACGTTTGACTGCAGTATCTTATGCGCCTTATAATCCGGTGCGCCCTATATATGAAAAATTTTCTAAAATAGGTCATTCATTGAAGGTGCGCCTTATAGTGCGGAAAATACGGTAATATTGAAGTGACATTAAGCATTCATTTCGTCCAAGAAAAGGAAAGATCTAACATTAAATATCAGAATAAGAGCTACAGATCCTGAGGGTCATTGGCAAATATATTTTGTTAGAGGGTTAGCTACCCTTGTCGGCAGTATCCAGCTCCGTGTTTACAGGATGCTGGAGACACCCGCCCAAGGCTTCTGAGAAATTAAAGAGAAAAATACCCCTAGAGTCTGCGAGAGCGGGGGCGGAAGATGACTCAATGTTGGACAACATGGTTAACGACTTAGGAATGGAAACGGATATGAGTATGGAGAGTAAGACTAGTTCAAGATCTGCAGTAAGAAGCGTAAATGGATGGAGAAGCATAGTTTACTGTAAAGCTACGTCTTAGTTTTGCTTATCTTGGCGAAAGCCGAGTACAAATCAGCATGAAGTTTTAACATCTACTCTCGTGTAATGGAAATCATGGCATTGGCAAATATATTTGTAATATAAGTGCTCCACGTGGCTCTGGGGGTTTAATAAAGGCCGGGAGCTAGTTATTTTAGTCGATAAAGTTTTAAATAAGGATATTTTTCTCACACAAACGCATCGCTTCACTTCAGAAGGCTTTTATTAACCGCCCAGAGCCGTGTGGAGCACTTTTATCATGGATGGATGCACTTTGATGGAAAAATATACAGCCATTCACTGCCATAATAAAGCTTGGAAGAGCCAGGACATTTTTTTTTAATATAATTCTGATTGTATTCGTCTGAAAGTAGCATGTCATATACACCTAGGATGTGTTGAGGGTGAGTAAATCATGAGCTAATTTTCATTTTTGGGTGAACTACCCCCTTAACACCTGGTACTGCACTGGGATTATACTATTTAGTGGATAAAGTATTCTCTATATACACTACCGTTCAAAAGTTTGGGGTCGGTACGATTTTAAATACTTTTAAAAGAATTCTCTTCTGCTAACCATGGCTGCGCTTATTTGATTAAAAATACAACAAAAATCAGTTATAGTATTAAATATTATTCCAGTGTAAATCAGCTGTTTTCTGTGTGAATATATAGTAAAGTGTAATTTATTCCTGTGATCAAAGCTGAATTTTCAGCATCACCAGTGTCAGTGTCTTCAGTGTCAAATGATCCTTCACAAATCAGTATAATATGAGGATTTGATGCTCAAGAAACATTTATTATTATTATCAATGTTGAAACAGTTGTTGGTCTGTCAGTTGTACAGTTTTTTTTTTTTAGGATTCTTTGATGAATAGGAAGTTCAAAAGACTTTTGCAACATTATAAATGTCTTTACTGTCACTTTCGATCAAATTAATTATTCCTTGATAAATAAAAGTATTGATTTCTTTCCTCCAAAAAATAAAAATAAAAATCTCACTGACCCCAAACTTTTGAACGGTAGTGTATGTATATTCTACTTCTTCTAAGTTAACACTTAAATTGTGATGTTTTTGTTTATAGTAATTTATACTTTAGTGATGTAATCATTACTTGCATACCTAGTGTTGAGTCAGAATTCAGATGATTCTGTTAGAGCTGGTAAATCTGCCACAGAATGGAGGGCGATATCTGGTAGAAATCACTTCTCTTAATATTTGATGTGACAGGATTAATGTATTTTAGTGCTTTTGAGGGAGCTGTGTATCTTTGATTCTGCTTCCAGCTTTGCAGCTAGTCTCGACTAAACACTTCCTCTAGTTTATGAGTGTTTTACACCACTGTGAAGGTATTTTGGTCCATTTGTCCCACTCCTCCTTACAAAGCTTCTTCAGCTCGGTGACATTTGTAGACTTTCCAGCATGAGCGGTGTTTCACGTACTTCCACAGCATTTCAATGGAGTTGAGGTCTGGACTTTAATTAGGCCATTCCCAAACTTTAATTTTCTCATTTTCCGACCATTTTCAGGTTACTTGTTGTGGATCATTCAGATCAAAGACTTTCAGACCCGTACAGTTGTAAGACTGGATAAACTGGAAGAGAGGGCAACTCTCTGAGAAAACAAAGGAAATTAACATTTGAACTCTCTTGCTAAATTACTATCCCCATTCGAGACACGATCGCACTTGAGTTGATCACCTCCCAATTTGCACATCATTCCCTTCACCCATCCCTACCTGAATTCACCCAAATCATCTATATGGTTTAATATGAACTATTATCATACAGTATTATACATGTTTGGTATGATTTGAAATGTCTCAGTGCGACTGGTTAAAAGCCCTCATTCCCACATAAGTAAACCAAAAAGGTAATAAGGTGTGGAGAGTTTAGAGATATCTTGTTAACTGCTGTGTGTGTGCCCCCATGTAAATCAACGTCTCTCCCCAGTAAGTCTGGGACGGCGATTAATGCTAATTCCCACTGTGAACTCATGTTTGCGTTTGAAAAGAGGTTTCTGCCTTGGTCTGGGTATTTAGGGAGATGCTGAAGAGCCTCGTGGCGATTTGTAACTCAAATTAGCCCGTGATGCAGTGTGTATGCAGGCACTCCCCATCATGTATTTTATTATGTCAGGTTCACATGTTCTCTCTTTATTCCAGAGCATTTGATGTTTTGTTTTGATTATCTTTGATTATCTAATTATGTAATTGGCATGATACATTTACCTGACATAATTAATTGGTACATTTGGTACTCTGAAATTGTTTTCCCAAGTAAATTAAACAGATTTGTATGTTACCGCAAGTTTTGCGTCAGATTAGTGATGACTAATATTTTGATGGTAATTTATGTGTACGTGTTTTGCGAAGACAATAAGTGAATTTCCTTTAAGGGCAGCAAAAGTTCTGCTTGACCAACCTAAATCTGGGTGTGTTTTACCTCTGTTTTAATTTAATGTTACTTTACATAAATGTACGTGGGAAACCACGGCATGGCCAATCCAAAGCTATTATAAGACAAGTAAAGTTGGTTGACTTAAGTAAAGAGTTAAATAGAACAATCAGATGTAATGCTAAACTATTATATAATTGACCAATAATCAATTGGCAATCTAACTTAAATTTGAGGTTGTGATAAAATGGAGTCCGATAAAAGCTTAAATGGACTTAAATTGCTTTGCCACGTGGAAAGACAGTAACACGCAGAGACCTTCGCCCGTTCTGGCGGAAACTCCCATTTGGACCGATAAACGGGCTTACACAGTTTTAGATAATTGTAATCTCGAAAGTGATGTTGATGTCTAACATATTAAATATTTCTGTGCCTTTTGTTTGCCTCCATATTCAGTTGTCAGTTTTTGCAACTAACTTTCAATGCATTTGTACAAAGAACAAAATAAAATTCAAGTTTAAGGATTTATATTGTTTGGGGTTTAACTGATTAATCAGTTGAATGCTTTCATTCCTGTTCTAGACTCTCTAACTGCAGTGTAACAGAAGAAGGTTATAAAGCTCTGGCTTCAGCTCTGAGATCAAACCCTTCACACCTGATAGAGCTGGATCTCACAGGGAATGATCCTGGACAATCAGGAGTGAAGCAGCTCAATGATTTACTACAGGATCCAGACTGTCAACTGAAGACACTGAGGTGAGACAGGATCAAATATTTAACTAAATTAGTTATATGGAGGCTAAATATTCATAACTAATATATTATTTTAGCTATACAATTAGCTTGACAATTTGTTGCATTAAAATGATCAAGATCAGATCAGACGCTGCAGGTTCTGTCATGATGATGATAAACGTCAACACAGTTTAGTTGTGATACAAGCTACAGGTCAAATAGACATTATGGGTCAGTATATGTGCTGCTATTCTGGAGAATACCTTGATAATTGAAATGCACAATTTTATTTTTGTGCACACTTCTCATCAAAATTCTAGATAACCTTTTAGTGAAATAGTTTTCTGAACACAGTTGTTTTCCCATCAAGCCCAGATTCACTGCATCTCTCTGTAGCAGGTCTATGAGTCTCCAGATGTTCACAAACATGCAGTTTTACAAGCCAGTTTTCTCTGTGCTGACGTTTCTCACTTCTCCTGCTTAAAAGCCAGAAAGATCTTAATTTCACACTCTATTCACACTGAAAACCATGATCTAGTGAGCTTTTGCCCCTCTGCTCATGAGACGTTTATATTCTTATGAGTTTGCTTTAGGACTGAGTGTCGCTCTAGTTTCTTTAAAATTTATATTTACTTGTGTATTTAAATGTTCAAAGAAAAATTAAAAAATGTATCGTATCAATCTATTTTGTAATGCCACAGACATTTATTTGAGAACTGAATTGACTGTTCTGCAGGTTTTTGAGTCCTGCTGCAGAGAAAGCCTGTCGGTATGTGAATAGAGTTGTGGGTGAAAACCCGTTTCTCCAGAGAAAGCTGAATCTGAGTGGACATAAACTAGGAGACACACGAGTGAATCAGATCGCTGCTCTACTGCAGGATAAACACTGTCAACTCAACACACTGACGTGAGTATTGCTCATTTATTTATAATATTACTTTACTTTTAGTTGCAATGTTAGCTGATGATAATATTTCCTCACTTGTTTGAGTCAGAGCAGTTTTTTCCTCAGCGTCACACAGACCCACAATAATTTAAAGTAAAAAAATTAAACAGCAAATTAAAAAAACTTGATATCAAGCTTTAAATATTTAGTTAAGACAGAAGGTTGGATCATGGGTCAATAATTATTTCAGTTACTGTAGAGGCAGAACAATGTTCTTTGTGACATCAGAATCAGAAATGTTCATAACTGCTTTCAATTCTATGTTTGTATTTCCCAAAATGTAAAATGTCTAATTTTGGTGCAGCATATACTGTTACTTGTAAAAATTGACCAAGCGCATTTTAAAAGTCTGTGATCAGAATCTGCCTGTAATAAGATCCACTGAACGCTAGTGATGGGCGCTTTCGAAACACGCTTCATGAAGATACGAAACCTTTCTGAATCTTTTGTTTTGAATCAGTGGTTCAGAGCGTGTATCAAAACGCCAAAGTCACATGATTTCAGGAAACGAGGATTAGTTACGTCATAACTGTTTCAAAATGTTTGGAAATGTCAGTGGTTCACCGCTGGGGGAAGATGATCTCTGTGAACCCATGAATCATTAGCCTGGCTAACGCCAGACCCAATTCTCGTTGAGACTTGGGTCTGGGAACCACATGTTCATTTTCTCGTATTTGAGGCGTGGTTTACGAATGCCCAGAGCCGTTTATTGGGTGCTAAGAATGTCTATCAAATGCGCCTGTACGTAGCTCATAGCCAATCGTTTCACTTATACTTATACCAGATGAAGTATGTAGAGCGACAGAAATTAGACGAGGGAGACGACGATGGCCGATGGGTCAGAGATTTACGCCGGTTTCACACTGCACGCGTTAGCAGAGCGTAAGCAGTGCGTATTTTTTTCGGCGCCCATGTTAACAGATTAGAGCATTCACACCGCACGCAGAGGCGGCGCGACAGCGCGTAGCAGGAGCAACAGTGCCGCGATCGTTTCGGCGCCCTGTCTATTTTTGCTGCGCGGCTTACGCTGAATTAAAGTGACAATGCATTTAACATGGCCAAAATACACAGCAGTTTGACCCAAAAGCGCATTGATGATATCTATTGTGTTTTAAACAGTCAATCAAATGACCTTCATCAATTTAAAAAGAAAACAAAGTCAACAAAAACAAAGATGAACCAAAAGTTATATAATATAGCCTATTAATTAATGAAATAAGCTTCTTGACAAGTCTTTTCTCTTAAATGTATTTGAAAACGAAATAAAGCAATGCCAACTTACCCATTATAGAGTACTTTGTCTGTAAACACGCCGCGCGCGTCAAACGCTGCCAGTATGAAAGCAAAACGCGCGTGTCCTGCTTCCGCTCACCGTACGCACTGCTCCTGCGCTGCTTACGCTCTGCTAACGCGTGCAGTGTGAAACCGGCGTTATGTGTAGCCTACCCTACACGATGGTGTGTAATATCTAACGGCCGTTTCACACCGCATGCGTGAGCGGCGCGTATTTTTTTCGGCGTGCATGTTAATCAATGAGTGCATTCACACCGTGAGCGTCGAGCAGGAGCGGCGCGTGAGCAGCAGTGAAGCGGGGGGTTCGAATCTGTTTTTTTGCAGCATTGCTCACGCTAAATTAAAGTGAAAGCACACTTTTGATGGACAAAAATAAATATGATTTCACACAAAAAGTGCCCAAAATGCACAGAATTAGCATGTCTAGTGAGTTTTAACAAGAACTTGAGAAGGCAAATAAAAGAAAATAAAGACTCAGAAATATTTATGGAAGATTTAGGCTACCCGGTAAAAACTTGTTTTTAATTATTCAGTTTGGGTGAAAGTTGTGTATTATATAAAAAAAAACTAAAGTAAACTAGCCAGAAAATATTATATATAAACGTTCTTTTAGTTAATGTAACGTTAACACACAGACAGCTACAGGCTAGCACAACCCAAATCAAACCCGAGTGTGTGGTTTATTTGTGTGTTTTGTTTTTTATCCGCGGAGTTGCAGTCTTGTAAACATCGAAAGTATGACTGAAACTAATAGATTGGAGCCATTTTCTGGGTTGTTTTGTTGTATTACATTTAACTTATATGCGAATGTTGTAAAGTTACACCTCCCCATTACAAACTTTCAAGACTATCAATGTTCTAAAATGACCAACTTCTAAAAACAAATGTATAGTTGTCTTTGTAAAGAATTGCTCGCTTATAATGCCGACGTCATATTTCAATGTCTTTGGAAAACAAGAAAAAACACAAAATGACTTAAGCAATTATGCTATGAGGCTAACGATATGTAGCTTTGGAGCCGCTGCTGTGACACTGTACAAACGCTTCCAGTGTGAATACTCTCGCGCGTCTGCAGCTGCAGTGACGATGTAGTTATGCTGACGCGCTGCTCAAATGCCGCTCACGCTTGCGGTGTGAAACCCATGTGTGAAACGGCCGTAAGGCTGCATCGAAAGGTAACTTCGCGTCTGCTGCCATGTTTGATCCATAGGTATAAACAAACTGCTTCGGTGTGTCGCATAGACACACCGTCTTGCAGAGACTCATCGTCTTGCTGCTCTCACCCCGTTCTGTGATTGGTTCCCTAAATGAGGCGAAAATTTGGTCCATGGTATCCATACTGCCTTTCAGCGTGAATAAAATCGCGCTGCGGGAAGGCAGCATGGGGAAACCCAGACTAATGAATCATGCAAATTTACTGAGATTGAACAATTGTCTGTGGGTTTAACCTGATCAGTTTTATACATTTGTAGATGTTTTAATCAGACATTAGAGTAATTAAAAGGAATAATAGTTAAAGGGTCACTCCACCCATTTCAACATTAATCTTTATTGAAAGTGGGTTATATATGTAGTCGAAATGTAAAAGAAATTTTAAATTTGGTGCCCTCTTGACCGAGAAAAGACAGAAAATAACTTTGGGGCGCATTTGTATGTAAGACAACAACTCCCACAATGCACCATGTTGCACAGCTCCGCAAGCCACTCCCACTAATCCAGAACAGCGCAAACATCAGAGAAATCGCTCTTCCGTCTACAAGAAGGCTAGCTGCCAAATGAGTTTAAAATTCATTTCACAAAAAATGTCTAGTTAGTTGTGGCGAGCAGGACGAGGGCGAGGGACGTGAGAGGACGACGCGAGTGATAATGAATGGCACCTGTGCAGCGGTCTCATATCTCTCACGGAGGAGCGGAAGCACAAAAGGAACAGGCCTGATTTTATGTTTTGTTTCTGTTGTGTGTGGCCAGCTGGCTTATACTTTTGTTTTGTATTTGTTTATTTTACTATTAAAACGTTTAAATGTTCGCCGGTTCCAGCCTCCTTCTTCCCACAACAACGAACCCCGTTACATTGGCAAACTCATTAGTGAATTACTCGTTTGTATTTCTTTCTATATGGTGAATTATTGCATGATACCTGCATGTTCAGTCAGGCGAAACTAGGATGGTTCACATCACAACACAAACGTCCGTGTGGTCGTCTGATTCAGAGATTTCGTCCAGGAGAAACTGCCTTGTTGAAATTCTCTGCAGCAGACGGACTCTATCTGTGTCCGTAGCGCACAGCGAGAGCACACGCACCAGCAGTCCGCCCAGCTCAAGCCAGCCCGGGCTCCTCGTCCGCGACAGGCAGCCGCCTCCTGTTCCACCATCAGCCTCAGCTGCTCTTCACTATATTGCGGCTCGTAAAGATAGCCACGAACAGCGGATTCGAGCAGCAGAATTTCAAAATCCTCTTCTTCCATATCATGTTTAGTTTCTTCCGTCATTGTCGTAACTTCCTATATCCACAGCGCTTGTTAGCTTAGCTTATAAACAAGATGGCTGATATTGCTTTCAGTATCTGCAAGTGAAGTCCCACCCACTGATCTGTGATAGCTCTGTTAGCGCATTAGGTCCAACCCCCTATGGGCGGGTTTGAAAGGGTGGGAATTTGTGCTTGTAGTCTATACAGAAATCCCCCCTTTTTACACTTCCTCCTACAATGACGTCAAATGACGATTTTTGCGTCATTGTAGGAGGAAGTGAAAAAGGTAAATAGTAGATTTCTCTCGTCTCAGGGGAAAATGAAAGAATGTTGCACGACCATTCAATAGTATGACTGGTTGTCTAACAATGGACCTCTTAATGCAAATGGGTGGAGTGTCCCTTTAATAGTCTCTCATTGGCCTGTTTAGCTGAGCTATCCATAAAATAAACAAAACAAGCACTGGAAATTGATAAAAGAGCACATATTATACAGACACTTGATATTTAATCATATTAGATTATTAGTTAATTGCATTTGATAGATTTTACTTTCAATAAAACATTTGTAATGGGTTTGTAGAAGGTGTTTATATGCAGTTTTTGGCCAGCATGTGTCGTTTCGAAACTACACGCTTGCACGCTTAGACTAACGCTTCAAAACAGTGAATCATTTTGAGAAGAAATTGGTTTAACTGATTTCTCCCATCACTACTGAACGCAAGTGCAGCTTTATTCAAATAAACGTGAACAAAAACGTGTTGCTAGGGGGGTTCAGGGGAAATTTTTGATTTTCCTGATCTACACATGTGCAATTTAAGGTGTTTGAAGGACAACACAATTGGATATCAATAGCTTTAAAAGCATGTCAGTGGGCAGTAGCATACATTATTTGTCAAGCAGAAAACAGATTCTTAAACTTGAGAATCAGGTTAAATGTCGCAATGATGATCCACACTACAAAATTGAAATGCAGAAATGTTATGCTTGCTGTTGACAAACACAATCACTTATTCCAAACAGGAATGAGAAATGATTCAATGATTATTTTGCATAGATGTTACATTTCAGTCAAACGCCAATGCAATCCTTCTGTGTCCAGAGGCATTTGAGCAATATGAGCATCAAAGATCAGTTTCAGCAACTTGTTTCTTTCCTGAATTAATCAATGTTTTTAGACTAATCAGTTCAATTAATGGTTCAATTGCTCACTCATAAAGACAGTCACGTGTCGCCCCCTACTGGCTTACAGATGCAAGTTGCACAAACACAGACAAGTGGAGTAAAGCCTTGTTTATACTCGACGCGTCCGCACGAGCGCGAGTCTCCGCTGACTGCGCGCGCACCTCTCCAAACGGACGAGGCGTTTATACTTGACGCGCTCGCCGTTGTGCTATTCTGTGAAACGACAGGGGGCGACTCGGAGTAATTCTCCTCTAAACCACCAGGAATCAGCAGTGAAGAAGTAGTTTGCCATTTATTAGTAGTTTATTAATTTCTGATTCATATAAAAAGAGTAATAAATGCAGTAGGTTTATTGCACTTTCACTGCATGTAAACTAGTAAACAACTGAAGCCTTATTGAAGAGTGTTTAAACCTTAATTTCATCAGCAGGGCTTAATTCTGCTATTCTAGGCTTATTTTGTAAATGTAAGCAGTTACTTTATACAAGTGCAAACTGGGTGCTTAATGTAAATGTGTTCCTATTCACAAAATGAGAGGCTTTTATGGTCGCCCATCAATACAAATGTCTCTGTGAATAGAAGGATCATAAACATGGTGGTACAGACATACCAGTTCGGCCAGATTCGGCTCGAAGTCGTTCATCTTCGGATGCGGCGCCGCGCGCGATGTTACAAAAAGTGCCGTGCACACCGCCAGGCGAAATGGGGTCTTGCGCACCCAACGCGCACGACCGCCCACACCGCAATGACGTCATTTTTGCCGCGCGCACTTCGCGCTCTTGCGGACGCGTCGAGTATAAACAAGGCTTAATACAGTGACAAGTCCCAGTGCTGATACTGGTGAAATATTCAAACACATTCGAAGTACACAAATATATATTTATACAATAATACTATTATGTAAATATATTTAATAGGGGCTTGTGTATGAAGGTAATATGAAGCCATAAAGAATCGCATGCGCAGGGTAAGATTTGTGAAATTGTACTTAAGATTGCAAGCGTAAATTAAATTAGCACGCGCAAGAGAAGATTTGAATACGATCTTCTCTCTAAGTGTATCGTATTACGAATACGATACACTTACGAATCGTATTCGTAAGTGTAATTCATGTATTTATTTACCATGCATACCGTAAAACTTCAAATAATAGCCGAGTCCCAAATAGACGCCTGTCTCTTTTACACGCCTGGTGTGGCGACAGGTTTGGATAAATAAAGGCCGGTCTCAAATAGAGGCCTGGTCTGTTTTTAGTTTCGGGTTGTATTTAATCTTCTAAAACCCGTCAGATCGTCTGTTTAAGCCAGTTCGGTATGGTGCAGATTGCGCACGCAAGAGAGCCCTGCGCATCTGGGCGGAGCTGTTAGCGCAAGCGAGGCAGGAGGAGTTAGCGGAGGCCGGAGAGGGAGAAGTGGAGGAGAGCGACGAGGAGGAGGAATTCACCAATGAACTTGTAGTTGAGGATCACGGCACTGACTGACAGAACTAGTGTGACTGGGTTTTAAAACAGACTATTGGAAACTAAATGCTGCTGTAGCTCTTCAATAAGATGATCATCATAGATGTGAACTATTGTTATTTCTCTGTCTTCAGTCTGAGTGGATGCAGTATTACAGAGAAACAGAGTCTCATCCTGACTTCAGCTCTGAAATCAAACCCGTCACACCTGAGAGAGCTGAACCTGACCGGGAATAATCTAGGAAACACAGGAGTGAAGCACTTATGTGCCGTACTGAAGGATCCACACTGTAAACTGGAGAGATTGAGGTCAGTCACATTCACATACAAGAATCAAAATGCTTAAAATCACTTCAACTGTTTAAACTAGAACACATTAACATTATATTTGTACAAACATTTTCACCTTAGTGTTTTGTGATCTGGTGAAATAAAGATGAAGATCTCTCTTCCTCTGTCTGTTTTATTTGCTGATGAAGATGATGTGACTTTACAGAATAAAGAGTCTCTTATTTTCATCTCTCTCTCTCTCTCTCTCTCTCTCTCTCTCTCTCTCTCTCTCTCTCTCTCTCTCTCTCTCTCTCTCTCTCTCTCTCTCTCTCTCTCTCTCTCTCTCTCTCTCTCTCTCTCTCTCTCTCTCTCTCTCTCCCTCTCTCTCTGCTAATGTAGGTTAATCTGCTGTGATATGACAGATGAAGGTTGTTCTGATGTGACTTCAGCTCTGAAATCAAACCCGTCACACCTGAGAGAGCTGGACCTGAGCGGGAATAAACTAGGAGACTCTGGAGTGAAAAACCTCAGTGATCTACTGATGAACCCACAATTCAAGCTGGAGAAACTACAGTTAGTGTCATTATACTGTACAGCAATTACAGTGTGACTGAAGTTTATTTATTTGAAGACAGCAGGGCTTATGTTTCATTGGTTATAGCACTGCACTTTTTGGGTTTCCCTATTGCTCACATTTTTGTGTTTTGTTTATCAACACTCTGTGTAATTATTCTGTGGCTTAGTGAATAGGACTAATATCACAGTAATATTTAACTTTATTAACTTAATAAAATCTCTGAATATCATTTATTTAATTGTTTGAGTTAAACATACAAAAATAATTGACCCAACAGTTCATTTCATCTAAAATTTACAATTATATATTTTTTTTTTTTCACTATAAGAATTGAGTATTTGACTAACCAATTATTTATTTATAATACACTTAAAGCTGCAGTCCGTAACTTTGGGTTAAAAATTATCCAAAATACATATTTGAGAAAATACATAACCAGCCAGTGTTCAAAACTCTCTGCTTGCCGTAGCTCGATTCACAGCGGTAAGCTTGTAATAATGTTTTTAATTCCAGTGGTACTGGTGGATTTCAGCGGGAGATTCGAGCATGTCTTTCTGTCATTACGTCACATCTGTCCACACACACACACACATCTGTCCACACACACATCTGTCCACACACACATCTGTCCACACACACATCTCTGTCCACACACATCTGTCCACACACATCTCTGTCCACACACACATCTGTACACACACACCTGTACACACACACCTGTACACACACACCTGTACACACACATCTGTACACACACACACACATCTGTACACACACATCTGTACACACATCTGTCCACACACATCTGTACACACATCTGTACACACACACACACATCTGTCCACACACACACACACACACACACATCTGTACACACACATCTCTGTCCACACACATCTGTACACACATCTGTCCACACACACACATCTGTACACACACATCTGTACACACACACACACACACACACACACACACACATCTGTCCACACACACACATCTGTCCACACACATCTGTCCACACACACACACACACACACACACACACATCTGTACACACACATCTGTCCAAACACATCTGTACACACACATCTGTCCACACACATACATCTGTACACACACACACACACACACACACACACACACACACACACACACACACACACACACACACACACACACACACATCTGTCCACACACATCTGTACACACACACACACATCTGTACACACACACACACACACACACATCTGTACACACACACACACACACACACACATCTGTCCACACACACATCTGTCCACACACACACATCTGTCCACACACATCTGTACACACACACACACACACACACACATCTGTACACACACACACATCTGTACACACACACACATCTGTACACACACACACACACACACAGACACACACACACATCTGTACTCACACACATCTGTACACACACACATCTGTCCACACACATCTGCACACACACACACACACATACACACATCTGTACACACACACACACACACACACACACACACATCTGTCCACAAACATCTGTCCACACACATCTGTACACACACATCTGTCCACACACATCTGTACACACGCATCTGTACACACACATCTGTACACACACATCTGTACACACACACACATCTGTACACACACACACATATGTCCACACACATCTGTACACACACATCTGTACACACACACATCTGTACACACACACATCTGCACACACACATCTGTCCACATAAAGAAGAGTCTCGGCTTGTCGGCTATATTGTGTGTGAGGATGTTGGAGGTGGAGATTTGTAGCCTTTTCTCACAGCACTTGATATAATTAAACTTATCAATTTGATGGCGGATCCAGAAAGGTTCAAACGACGATCATCACCAGTGACAACAGATTCACCCGCTGTAAAATGCAAAAGACTTCGTTCGGACTTCGGAGCGGCGACAGAGAGAAAGAGACTGCAGCCGGACCCATGCGAAAACAAGGATAATATCGGAAGGACATTACATGTAGTCACGCAATGCTTGCTTACGCTGTTAACATTAACAATTTGAGAATAAAGTATAATTTGCACGGTTTTGCGTGATATGATAACTTATAAGCGATTGTTAGATTTAATCAGCGCGATTTACTGCAATGTCAGAACCAGAACAAAAGTGGATGTTTCTTACTAGTTCAGACATTTCCCAGTGAAAATTCTTATGTTGTTCATACTTCCAAAAAGAATAATCTGTGATTCTGAATGCCAGTATCGACACCGGCGGTGACTGACACACACACTCTCCTCAAACACTGTGTTCATCCGCGCTGTGCCATGTCGAGGGTGTTGAACTACAACTCACGTAAAGCTGATAATTCCACGAATGACTGCAATTGCAGATTTCGAACAGAGATGGCGACAAAGAGGAAAAACGCCGGACTGCAGCTTTAAGATATTTGTGAAATTTCTATCAAAATATTTGAGAATGGAGAATTAAACTGATATGTTTCAAGATCCACAAATATTACTTAATTCAAATCAGTATTATTAATATATTTAACACACTCTTGAGAGATTGAGCAGATTTACTCAGTTCAAACAATGCCCCCCATTTACATTTACTCAGTTTATACAGTGTATTGTAATTTATTTCACTGCTTTAAAATTGAATCAATATTTTTGAGTGTAAAAATGTTTCAACAAAAAAAATTAGTAAATCATATAAAACTTTTTAGAGTGTAGATAGTTATTGTTTAATTCCCAGCATCTGATACAATGTACTGATTGTGTACATGCAGAAATCTGCCTTTTCAACAGAGAATAAAGAAGAGAGACGTCAAATAAATAGTTAAAAATGAAAGATAAGAAACAGTGTCTTCCAGCGCACAGAACTAGTGTAACTGGGTTTTAAAACAGACTATTGGAAACTAAATGCTGCTGTAGCTCTTCAATAAGATGATCATCATAGATGTGAACTATTGTTATTTCTCTGTCTTCAGTCTGAATGGATGCCGTATTACAGAGAAACAGAGTCTCATCCTGACTTCAGCTCTGAAATCAAACCCGTCACACCTGAGAGAGCTGGACCTGAGCGGGAATAAACTAGGAGACTCTGGAGTGAAAAACCTCAGTGATCTACTGATGAACCCACAATTCAAGCTGGAGAAACTACAGTTAGTGTCATTATACTGTACAGCAATTACAGTGTGACTGAAGTTTATTTATTTGAAGACAGCAGGGCTTATGTTTCATTGGTTATAGCAGTGCACTTTCTGGGTTTTTAAACTAAAACACTTTATTCTCAATATCTGACAGTGAGTCTGAGTTCACATTATATTTGTGTAAAATTCTTCACATTCATGATTTGTTTGTAAGATAATCTCTCTTCCTCTGTTTGTGTCTCTAGTCTATATCACTGTGGCATTACAGATGTTTCTTCTTTAACTCAGTCTTTGACTAACTCAAAAGCACTGCAGTTTTTAAAAGAGCTTGATCTGAGAGACAATGAGATCGGAGACTCACAGCAGCGACTCAGAGACGAGCTACGAGACTCAAACTGTGTCCTGAGGTGAGGAAACATCACTGAGATATTAAAGAGATCTTCATTTACCTCTGATATGTGAACAAACCTTTCAAACATTCCTGAAAGGAAATTATCATAAAGCTTTATTGCAACAAAGGGTTTGTGTGAGAACAAAATGTGAAGTAGCTGAAATGTTGAACACAAAGGAGGAAAGAGAAGAAAAGCTCACTGTCACAGCTTTATACATCAACACCTGCTTTATGAACTGTGTCAGTAGAAGTGAATCATTTCAGTGTGAAAACAGACTTGGTCAGATTGTAGGAAACGCTGCACTCCTGCTAAAATCAGTGCAGTTCCAGCTTCAGCTCACAGCGTCCAGCTCACATGAGCAATGTCTCTGTCTCTAGTGTGTTTTACTGTGACAAGCAACACGTCACACTACTCTACACTTACTTTACTCTCAGTTATTTACTAAGAGCCTACAAACATGTTTAAACTAGAGGACAAACGGCTTTAACTAAAGGTTTGTGTTTAACTCAAAATAACATTAGTATTTGCTCCCTGTGGTTTATTCCATACGCCGTACACTAGTTTCTCCTTTACAGAGACTCAATAGGAGTCGCACCGACACACACAGACACACATATGAACATGATTCAGGTTTTACATCTATTATATTTAAAAACTAGGGCTGTCAATCGATTAAAATTTTTAATCTAATTAATTACATACTCTGTAATGAATTAATCTAAATTAATCGCATACACAATCTTACAATGTTTACATGGTACAATTTCTGGTAAGCTACGTTTTTATTATTATTGCTTGACACAAATTTCACGATTTAAATTTAATTTAATTCTTGTGATTTGATGCAATATTGACTCATTTGGATAAATATTAGGTACACAAGATATAGGCATTCATTTTTCTCAAGAAAAAAAAAAATCTCACCCAATGCTGTAAAAATACAGAGAGCCATATCAGCTGGTAGTATTTAAGGTTAAAAATAGATCAAATTAAATATAATGCTTGTTTATTACAAATAACAACTTTGATATTTAAGTAAAAATATAATACATATGTAATATAGTAGTAGTAGGCTACATAAATTTAGAAAAATACTCTCTATAGCTCTTTTTTTATAGCCAACTATAACGTGCTATATGGACATGAAATGGCTTTCCTGAGGTAACTTAGGCTAAATGTTATGTGACATAATTGTTCTCCAGCTGTTTTATTGACCTCTTTTCGCGGTTGAAAAACACTGATTGATCGAGGAATATACATTTCGGTAAGTTTTACGCTGCCCTACTGTATCTTTCAACATTGTTCATTCGTGTTTATTTACTATTAGCTAGAGATGATCGGTTCACGTGCCGCTATGGGATCTGTCATGACTCATGTCACATTTACAAGCGCCAAAACGGTATTTATTGTTTGATTTTCGTAATAAAATTGACAGAATCTGAGAGCTGAGATTTTTTTAATATCATAATAACGTCTGTCTTGTCTGTTTCCGTGTCCTCTCTTTGGTGCGCGATTTTTCTGTGCGTGAGAAAATGGTTGTGTGACGTGAGAGCGCGTGAAAAGTTACAACACACACACACACACACACAAGCGCGCTTTCTCTCAGACACACTCACACACTCCTGGATGCTTTGCATTGATGTGGTACTTTAGAGTTGACGAACTCCGTTTGTTATAAGTAAATGTTCCAAACAAGGATCCAAGCAGCGCGTTCTTGTCTCCCTCCTCCTTTTTACACGAATGGTGGCTACGGCTAGAACGGCTCCGCAAAGGTCAAAACGGAAAGGATTAATCTGCGTTATTTTTTTTAACGCGTTATTTCTTCTCAGATTAATTAATCGAAATTAACGCGTTATTTTGAAAGCCCTATTAAAAACACAAATATATATGCAAGATAATTTAAAGTCGGTTATTAATCCGATTAATTCAATTTAACTTATTTTTACTCAGAAAACAGTAATTGAAATAAAATAATTTGCACTTTGTTCCGCTGAACACTGATTGTTTTCTCTTCTGTTCTACTTTACAGAGTAGATTAAGATCGATCGGCAAACGTCAGTGGATTTACATCATAGTTTAAATCTGTGAAACGGAGATGAGAGGAGCAGAAACCATCAGGTGATCCACAGAAGAGTCTCACTGCTGTCTATGAGGAGAAATACATGTGTAAATGTGTTTCATACAGGTGGAAGAGTCTCAGACTTCACTATTAAATAAAGCAGCGTGTGTGTTAGCATGCGTATTAGAAACATGTTTAAAAATGATCAGGAGGTCGGGAGGTGCTCGTAAAGTGCTCGGCTCGGCTCGTAATGGGCTCTATGCACGCATCACTTCCGCATTGGCGTAAGGATGTTTGGACATTTCCGGTTAACGGAAGAAAACATTAAACAGTGACAGTCGACATTTACGATGGCAGAGACGAAGTTCACAAGGTGTTTGCTGGAGTTGCCAAAGTGTCTGTTAACGATATCCGGAGGATCGTCCGGGCATCCAGTACGACAACACCACGCAGCAAATTAGATAAAGGCTTTAAATTTTACGTTTCTTTATTTCTTTGCAACTTTGAAAGTAATTTGCTAACGCTAGCTAGCGTTTTAGCGTAGTGTTTTAAGTCATGACTCCGTCCTGCTTCAGGTTAATCATGCTTTAAATAAAGTTTAATTATGTGTATATACCTCTCACTTCATGTGTTTGTACTTTTATTAAAGTATCAGGTAAAAATAGGGCAACAAATGAGATATCTGTGAGAGCCCACTGCTACCGCTCAATGAAGAAGCTAAAGCCACCACACCAGCTGAAAGTAGGACTAGATTAAGTGACACGTTCAAAAGTTCTGTTGAACTTGTTTAAGGTTCTGTTCAACAAAAGTTTTACTCGTTTAATGTTACCACATTTCAGCTTTGATGACCATTTCTAAGAGAGCACCTTTGTGGTTTTCACGAAAGCTGAACAGTGGTAGCCTAATACAGTATAAAACCTAAATCTGTGGGACATAGGTGTTACATTTCATTACATTACATTAAGTGCCCATACACAACATTATATTGCAAGCATGTTAGCATCTGTATTGACAGTTACTGTAAACATCCTAGAACATTTAGGCACTCAGGTCAGAAACTGGACCACACACGTCAGTCCTTTTGCTTACTGCTCTTCTCAGTATTTTAAAATACAATGCACTAGTAGATAGATCTAGATAGTTTTAGATAGATACTTTTCTCATCACGAGGGAAATTCAAGGTTTCCAGTAGCTTACAACACACATCACACATGCAACATTTAAACAGATAGGCTTAATAATACTAAGCAATGTTGAAAGCTCTAAAACATCTATATTAAACAAAGGTGGACATTTTAATTTACCTTGAGAAGAACCTTCTGTCATCATCTGATCCAGCAAACCGCTCCAAGCAGAACTTGTTGCTGATAGATATCTCCTCTATTACGTTTCGGAGTCTTGCTATCTCTTCATGAAGTTCTTCAGTGCGGTTAAGAGACATATCCAGCGCAGCAGGTTCACTACTGTCGCAGTAGTCATGGTCAGGAGGATAGTCCAATTCCACAGATGGATCGTGCGTGGTTTCTGTATTGGGACGCTCGGTCCTTTCCCAAACTCCGGGCCGTGGGGCTGGCAGACTGAAATTGTTCCACTGAAAAAGCACGGGAACAGCTCCCTTCTTTAGACGTCTCCGCCCAGCTGGAGTCAGAGGCTCATCACGTCTTCACTTTGAAAGTGTCGGCTGCAGACTCGTGTGTTTGTTGTAAGAAACTTGTCTCGTCGGATGTTAATCACCCAACGTTTATGTAATTCAATGTCTTTGGGAAAAGTAAAAAAAACTAACTGAAGAATTGCATGTTGCAGACACTGTGGCTAGAAGAGCTGTCTTCCCGCCTTTGAAAGGACAATTTCGTGCGTTTACATGTCATCGCGTTATCAGTCAAGATGAAGTACAAGTAAAAACATTAACATAAACAACACAACAACGACGAAAATGAACAGTTTTGGGTGTTTTGACGACAAGCATTCAATGGTAGCATAGGTAGCACTTCACTCTACAATAACCGGATGTTTACCACCATCCTGAGATTTAACCGGAAATACGCCATGCTCGCCAGTGCATACTGCCCAGAGCCATAGAGAGAAAGAGTTGCGACACTCCCATAGACCTCCGTTGTAAAAAATGGCGGCGCTTTTACCCGCCTACTTCCGGGATTTGAAGATCTGATTAGTTCCAAACACTGTCATTTGGGCGTTGGACCCCATTCACTTACATTGCTGCGCGTCGAGTTGTTCCAGAGATAAGTTGCTGAAATATCGACCTCTTTTGAATTGTCAACTGTCTTTTTTGTATCAGAGGCCCTTTGCGATGCTTATACTGGTCTTCATTTGTATATGCACAGCGTAATCATTTATATTTTATCTTGGTTGTTTCAACCAATTTTCAAGCACTGCCTGCTAGCTAGTTAGCTAGCGCGACTTCTTCAGCTGTGACAGTTTGGTAATGAATCGCTACCACCTTTATAATATTCATATTTTCAGGCTTCCTCTCCTAAAGTTAAATACTTTTAATAATTTGAAACCCCATGTTTGCATCTGCCTTCAGCCCTGGTTTTTGTTTTTCTTGTTCACACACACTCACACAAGCACACATTTGTGTTGTCTGTCATTGTTTAATAAAAAATATTTTATTTTAAAACCTTCATTTGTATCAGCCATGCTTAATTGATGTCTCAATAGCTGTAACAGAAGTTACAAGTGTTTTGTTAGTTAATTGCTTAAGTTACTTGGATTGAGTTACAGCTACCCTTACTCTTAGCCTACTATGTACACTAACCCAGAGCCATGGAGAAAAATCTTCACTCTGCTCTTACCTATAGACCCAAACATAAAAGCGTAAATTCGTTTTTAATCTGTTATAGTTTTGATAATATGTGTATGGCTTAATCTTAAAATGATATTCTTAGTCTTAACATGATCATGTTTCACGTTGTGGTCCTGGGGGTTGAAGTCCACTTTCATCAGAAGAAGTGAGCTAGCTTCTAAGCGAATTCTGAATTGGCGTGATCACGAAGGTAGGCTAATGGCTGAATGGGAATTTATAAGCAAGATCACGGGAATCAATAAGAGCTAGCTTCTAAGCGAATTCTGAATTGGCGTGATCACGAAGGTAGGCTAATGGCTGAATGGGAATTTATAAGCAAGATCACGGGAATCAATAACCTAATACAGCCCAGTTGTGCTAAAATAAAAATCACGAGACGTCCATCATCAGATGAATGATATGGAAAAGTTAAGTGAGAGCCGCTAAAGCCAGTGCTACTACCCATGCGAACATGAACACTAAGCTTTTCCCTCCAAAAATATAGCCTAAAACTTATCTAAGTAATCTACAGTATTTCGTTGTCACCCTGCCTCTCCAAATGCAAAACTGACATTAACAAAATGCAATAACAGCTGAAAAAGTACTTGGGTGTGTGTTTTATTTTATATTTAGCGTTCAATAATGCAATCGCTGCTGTCTGTCCCATAGAAGAACATGACAGCCAGCGTATGTGTTGGAACTATCGGGGCTTACATGAACCACATGACAGCCGTCGCGGCGACATCAAAGAGTGTCGCAACTCTTTCTCTCTATGGCTCTGATACTGCCTATTCCTCTCACACGCTGCGAGTGCGACCATGCGAGCATCACCGATTTCCACACGATCATCTGCGAGCTCGTAAAACAGCAAAAAATCTCACCGTGTACGCCCGCCTTTACTGAACATATAAAGGGACAAACGGTAACAGCTGCCCAGCTAACACAGAAGTTGTGACGACGTCGTCAGTTAGTCGTTATTTGGTCAGCGTGACATTACTTTGTGACAACGTTGTGAGGACGTCGTGGTAAAGTCTTGGCTAACGTTCCAGAAACGTCGTGGGCACGTCCTCAAAAGACGTCGCTAGTTTATCCCATGGAGAACGTTGTAGAGACATGGTCAACTGGTCTCAAGATAACTTAATTTTTTTTTATTTTTTTTATTTTTTATTTAACAATCAGACATACATACAAACAAACCAACATAGTGCAGTAGTGAGTAATCTTGTAAATCCATACTTCCAGCAGTGACAAGAGTGATTTAAGTGTTTAAGTGTTTAAGTGTGTATGTGTGCGGGTGTGAGTGTGGTTATGTGTATGTGTGTGTATGCGTAAACAAAGTAACCGTTTATTATGTATTACCATTGTCTTTACCATCACCATCCCACTTCCCACTACCACCATATTGCCAATATTGTGTTGGTAGATTTTTTACTTCCATCCTTCCTCCTATGTAATAATTGCCATTGTCAATCCTGCATAAAATACGATATAATAAGATAATATAATATAAGATAATATAAGATAACCTTCCCCCTCATCTCATCAGTCCATATCTTTTCCTATTTATTTATTTATTTATTTTTGTGTTATGTGCAATGTCTAAGGTGCATTAAAATAGGGAGTACAGTGCGAGAGTGTCTCAAATTGGGACAGAGATGCTGTCCCGTTGAAACCACTTCTCGCCTGTCTAGCCTGCCTTGGTGTTTGTGAGGTTTTTCCATATATCCTTAATCCTTCTTTTTTTTTTTTTTTTTTTTTTTTTATTCTATGTTGTGGTGCATTAAAAACCCATGAAGAGATAAGGGGGAAGTTATTGCACTAGTGATGACAATTATATCTAATTCTAAAACAGCATTGACAATGGCAATATTGATGATGATAATAATAATAATAATATTAATAATAATAATAAATTACAATGATGATGGCAGTGGTGATCACAACGGTGAGAGCAAAAGACAGCAACAACAGTAATTACAACAATGAAAAAAAAAAAAAAAAAAAAAAAAAACAAGTGAAAATAGTAATCATAACAGTAACAGTAAAGATAGCAATAACAATGATGACAGAAACAAGTTTAAACAACTAATATGAATATTCGTGGGTTGAGTAAGAAGGTGAGAGAAGTCAGAGTTGAAAACAGAGAAAGGATTCATAGCTGTTAGAGGTCAGAAAGTGTTGGACGGCAGGGATCAGTTTCAGATGTGTTATTATGAAGGGGAGATGCGAGTTCCATTGCCATGAAGTCTGTTATAAGATTTTTCCAGATGTTAATGTGTAATTTATTTCTGGTTTTCCAGTTCATGAGGATAGTTTTCTTGGCGATGGCTAGAGCTGTGAGGAGTATTTTA